GGTGCTCTTACTAATATTGAAATAGATTCCTTTACTAATTTCAAAAATATTGTATGATTAGTCGATTTTATTTTAAAGTTTTATTACACATTTAGATGAACAACATGCACCGAATACTATTAAAATTTAATTAGTTGATGCTCCCCGTGTGTTCACAGGAAGTAAAATCTAGTTAAATTTAATAGCAGCTGTGGGGACTTTTGTTTTGTTTTGTTTTGTTTTTTTATACTTTCTTCCTCTAAACCTTTTCTCTTTCCTACATGCAAGGTCTAATATTTTTTAGCCTTGTACGTGCAGCTGATAATTTCAATAATTCGAGCAAATTGAATTATTTAGGTAAAACTTAATTTGGGCAAAACTTATTCGAATCAAATTTAAAGCATCCTATCTTATATAAAAAGCCTATATAATCAAATTTGGCCCCAACACTTTCAGGTTTATTCGGGTCAACCCGAATATCTGAAACATTTTAAAATATTTTTTCTATTTTTTTAATCAATTTTAATTTTTAAGTAACCTTGTTAAGCATAAATATTATTTTGAATTTAAAAGAATAAAAAAAATAACTTATTAACTTTATACTTAAGTAACTTTATTATTGTTTTATTATATTGTGTGTAATTTATTCATGAATGTTTATTTTACTTGTAAATTAATATTTTAATTGTTTAAATATTGCTTTTATTGTGATCATATATAAATATTTTAAATATCTTAATTAAATTATATTATTTTAATTATGATCAAATTGACTTCAATTCAATCACAGTTAGACACTAACTTAAAATTATTGCCCAATTAATTCAAAATTTTTAATAAATTTTAGATAAATTGTACTTTTTACTTTTAAGAGTATGAAAAAAATAGTCATTATTATAGAAAACAAAATTATTTAATTATGAGTAAAATACTTTTTTTTGAAATTATTTTTTCTTTAACTTTTATATTATTTAACCTTACATACAAGAGGTACTTACTTTAATATATTCTTGATTTTTAATTAAGTTTAGTGTGAACAATAACTAAATAATTATTCAAAGATATTTTTATATTTATTATGTTTATCTAGTAATAGAGCCAATAATTCATACATACTTGAATTTTATTTTTGTTCCCATTGAAAACTAGCCCGTTTGCCACAGCGCAACCCACACCCATCACGATGGATGGCACAAAGGGACAAGTCCTTTAAAAGGCATTTACACCGTGACGCAACTACCATGCACCACGGCGCGCACTTACTGTCATGACAGCACTTCAAACTTTCAGAGTGTGCCGTTTTGCCATCTAACTTTTGATTTAAGCTGTTCAAGTGTTCACACGAAACTTTTTAAGTCCTTTAGTTAATGGCACTGGTCTCACACTCAAATAATCATCCATTAAAAAGACGAACACCCGAATCCAAAATGGTTTGTTTTCAATTCAAAGCACTTTCAAAGGTGTCTAAAGCACACCACCAAATGCCATTAACTATAGAATCACTTTGATCACCTCAAATGAACCACACATAACATGACAGGTCAACCATATCACACAATTGAGCATTCATACTCGAAATGACTACCAAACTTCCAATTCACAATAACACAAATAGGTGGATTAAACTTAACACACATATCGATTTGGTCATTTTAACATATAAATCATTTCAAATATATCACTTGTAATTGTATCTTGGCCAAGCATACTTATTTAATCACAACAACATCAATCTTGGGCCAAGATATACACACTTCACATATTCTTATATAAGTGATAATAGAACAATGTCATCTTTCTAAGTTGGCATTATATTATAGCAATATTCGTTACAAACCTAAGAGAGGAAAGTGAAGAGTTATACAACGATACTCTTCACTCTTCAGTCATCCCTTCCTTTCCCTTGCCCCTACCGGAGCCCTCACATATAAAATATAACTACGAGATGAGATAAACATCTCAATAACAGAATAATTCACTATTATTAATTAACATGCATAATCATAAGGGAGTAGAGCTATTAAGCACCAAAATATACTTTTAGCATATTATAATATACTCTTTTCCATGAACACAAGTCATTTATCACTAACATGATCATTCTATCGTCCAAGCCTCCATATCACCCTAACTTAAACCATAGGCTCTTGAACCAAGTGCACACTCACAAGGTTTAAGCTCACCTTCTATGGTAGGATCACCTTGCTAAAGGTTTTCTATCTTACTTCCAACATGACATGGGTTATTATTACTCTAACTTCGCATCACTATGCTAAGGAGCGTTACTCTCCAACGCTGTATCCCGCATGGATACTAAGGAGAAAATCTCCAACACTGTGCCTCACTAGACATTAAGGAAATACATGCCACATGAATTTTTACTACTTCTTCATATGGGTGAACTCCCACCCCCTAATATGATCATGCTCACACTCATCATAGATAACACAATACATTTCAAATATCTTAATCAGTCTATATAAACTTTTACTATTCTCATCATTTGCAAAAAAAATTTCATACACAAATTCACATTTCACAATATGCAAGGTAATCAAATCTCAAGCAACAAATTTAACATATCTACTCATAAATAGTTAGGCAATATAATTAAATAGTATAAATTATTCCGTTATCTCAACTCTTTATCACACAAAAGGGTTACCATGGCTCAATGCTAGCTCTACATGCTCTATATGCATGATATAGCTTGAGAAATACTAAGTCTACGCAATCAAATGACAATTGTCAATTATTACTTCGAATAAACCCAGAATTTACTAGGTTCTAAGTACTCATAATACTCAAATTCCTTATCTAACAACATCAATCATTTCAAAACACTCTAACCATCCTATTAAACATCCCAACATATCAAAATCACCATCCAACTATTCATATTGTTTAAAAATTCTCAAATTATGCCTAAGGTTTGTCCAAACCCTTAACAAGAATTTCAAATCACCATAAAACTCATAAACCTAAAGTTAGAGATTTGATTTAACTCCCCAAGACCTTAAATAAGCCAATGGGTTCAGTCTAAATCTAAGGGAACCGAAAACAAGCTCCACAATACCTCTTAAGTCATAAATTTCATATAAAATGGAGAGGGAAAGGAAAGAGAAGCTTACCCAATGATGATTCAAGCTCCAAATGCTTTCAAAGTGGTCTAAAGATTGTGTCCTAACAGATATCAGTCGCTTCCCGTCGCCTCCTCACGATTTTCTTTATCCTACTTTTGATTTTGGGTTTGTTTTTGCGAACTGATAAGTGCAGATTTTGCACGTGCGCCGCGACAAATGGCACAGAGAGTCCCAACACAATTTAAGCTTCCTTCATGTCATGGCCCACTCAAACATCAACCTAACCTTCTTTTAAGGTTGTCTAAGGATTCAAAAACTATATTAGTCTCCTATAGATGTCATTAATCAATAATTTATTTAAATTGACCAAAATATCCTTGTAAATATTGCTAATTTCTAACTTGAAAACCTAAGATGTTAAAGCAACTAGCCCAATTAACATCAAAAAAGCATATAAAGTAGAAGGAGACTTTCAAATCAAAACTCCATAATTAGTAATAAATTTAAGATAATAAAGTATCCTTTTAACAGCAACCCAATGTGTATCCCTTGGTGAGTGTAAAAATTGACAAGCTTGTTCTTAGTAAAAGAAATATCTGGCCTTGTAGAAGATAGATATTGAAGACTACCCACAATACTTCTATATAAAGTAATATCAACAAAAGGTTTACCATCCATTAAAGTTAACTTGGAACTAGAAACCATAGCAGTTCTCAAGGGTTTACATAGAGCATATTGGTCTTAGTCAGCAAATCTATAATATACTTCCTTTGTGACAGAAAGAGACCAACAAACATAGAAACAGCTTTAATGTCAAGGAAAAAATCGAGATTGCCCAAATTCTTCACAGGAAAATGATTTACCCAATGTATCAATTAGATTATCAACCACGGAAGCATTAGACCTTGAAAATATAATATTATCAACACAGACCTTATATATAAAATAGAGGAGGCAGTGGATTTACAAAGAGAAGTATTTGGATGAACATAGATGTGGGCCTAGAAGAAGAAGGTAACAGGGGAGGAAGGAAATTAGGCTTAAATAGATGAGGCAAATTAGTGTAATTAGGAGTAGGATTGGGTTGATTGGGTTAAGAAGGAGAATTAAAAACATGAGGCACCAGAATAGTAGATATTTTTCTTTTTTTTTTTTCTGGTGCATTACTTATCTCACCCCACCATATGTGGTGAACATAAATGTGAATATCTTCTACATCTAGAAATTTAACAACTGTTGTTGTACCAAAGTAAAAACCTTTTTCCTGTCAATGTTAAATTGCCTTTTACTGGTGAGTGTCGCATTTTATCCTGTCAATCCTTCGTGGAGATTCAATTTCATCTAGTGAAAGCATTTATTTGGGATTCTATTGGAACCTCTTCTTGCCAAATAGCAAACCTTTCTGTTTTCATTTCTTTCGGTAATGTTTGGGAGCTTTTTCTCAAGACGAACTGGAATGAAATGGGATAGTAGAAGCTTTATGCTAGGGCTGCACAAAGAACTGGACGGGATTGGACTTCAGACTAACCGGAGTCTGGTCCTTTTTATAAAAAGGACTGGGTTAGGCAACCCGTAGTCTGGTCTGGTCCTGTGAAAACCCAGAGATTAACAGGACCGGATTTAGTCCATAAAACTGGAAGACTGGTCCTGTTAGTCCAATACTCACTAGGACTTTTTTTTTCTCTATGATAAACAATAATTCATTTCAACCTAATAAACTCAATTAAGATAATAAAAACACTTATAAGTTATAATCATAATAAATTCATAATTCATAATAATTTCTAACATCAAGAAAATAATATTTCAGTTACAGTTCAAACTCCAAATGATTTAAATATATAACTTCAACAAAAACACTCAACAAAGTTTAACACTACATTACATCTGTCATGTAATTATCTCCTTAGCTTCAACAGAAACAAACTCAATAAATCTTCAAATAATTATCTCCTTAGTGTTAATAACACTTGAAGCATCTGTAAAAAAAAATCATATACACATATATAAAGTGATTAGTAAGTGTAAAAATGCAATATATAAATTAAATTAAGAGACATAAAATTGAATATATTACCTGTAACATTAACCACATCGTCAGTCTCTTGAAAATTATCAACCTCATGAAACATAGAGACAAACTTTGAGAGAGATTGCCCTGCAACTAGCCAATTCTGGGCACAAATGAGTGCTTCAGTCATCTTAGGAGATAAAGAACTCCTATAATCATCAACAACACGTCCTTCAGTGCTAAAAGCTGATTCAGAAGCAACTGTAGATACTGGTATAGCCAATACATCTCGTGCTATCAAGGAAAGCACTCTGTACTTGTAGAATTAATCTTCTACCATGTCAAGATATCAAAATCATCATCATCATCATCAATAGGGGTGTCCTCAGATGTACTAGCAGAAAGGTATCTATCCAACTCTGATTGGGTATCAACTGACGAGCTTTTTTGCTTCTGGGATGCTAACCATCTATGACCAGGGTCTTTTTTTACCTTTACTTGCATTTGAAGTGTTGGTGTCAAGAGAACTTGAAGAGTTGACACTACCAGAACTGCTTATATCAGGACTAACTGTTGCAGAGTATTCCTCAAATAGGCGATACAAAGTGTCTCTTGCCTTGTTCTTTATGGACATGCAAAGGTCAGGGGCAAGAAAAAGTTGATCAAATACATGATTAATATAGGCAAGCTTGTATCGAGGATCAAGAATCACAGCAATAATCAACAAAGGGTTTAAATTATCTGCTGCCCCCCAATACTTATCATACTTACTCTTCATGCTCAAAGACATCTCCCTAAGAAGAGGGTCATCACTTTCAATATTCTCATCTAACAACTCTTGAATTAAAGAAATTTGATGGAAACATGTATGTGCAGTAACTTTTAGTGTGCTAGAAAATTGTAAAGTGACATTATAAAATACCTTCAAGAACTTAAGAAAGAATCGTGCTTTACTCCAAGCTTGTTTGTTTGGAGGGCCATTACGCTTAGGAGGAGCTTGCCTAGAGTGAGCAAAAGCATCTATGTTATCATCGGGTCTAGCACCTTGCCTATAAACATAAGCATCTATGCTACCCTCTAAACAAGAAAAGCCACTCTGAGCATGACACTTTAAACCTTTGTTGAAGTAGCTAACAAAATCTTCATCCTCATCCTCTAATCTTTCAAATGCCTTTTGAAACTTCAAAGCCACATCTAACATTAAATATGTAGAATTTCATCTAGTATTGACATCAAGGCAAACAATGCTTTTTGTGTCCAACATTTCCAATTCACAAACATATTTAAATCTTTGCAAGCGAGCAGGAGAGGAACGAACATATCTAATAACATTTCAATGGACTCAAAAGTATCTTTCAACTCCTTCAACCGGTCATTAACAATTAGATTAAGAATATGTGCAGAACACTGTAGTTGAAGATAATCACCACCATAAACAAGACCCCTCCAATTCTTTAGATGCCTTTTTAAGTAAGATAAGGCTGTGTCATTGAAAGTTGCATTATCCATAGTTATGGTAAACACATTTTGTATGCCCCAATCTGATAAGCACCTTTCAATTGTCTTGCCTATCGTATCACCCTTGTGATTCTCAACCATGTAAAAACTTAGAATCCTCTTATGCAAGTTCCAATCATTATCAATGAAATGGGCTGTCAAACATAAGTAATTGAAGTTTTAAATTGATGTCCAGTAATCTGTAGTGAGGCAAAGACGATTAGTACACTTCTTCAACAAATTTTTCAAGATTCTAATTTCACCAAGATACAATTGCCAGGCATCTCTAGCCACTGTTGTTCTTGAAGGGATTTGAAATCGTGGTTCTAACTCCTTTACAAACTTTTTAAAGCCTTCTTTCTCAACAAGCCTAAATGACATCTCATCACATATGATGAACTCAACTAGAGCCCTGCGACATCGTTTCTGATTGAACATGTGAGGTACTAAGCTTCCCTCTTGCCCACTTGGTGTCACATAATTCAACATAGATTGTTTTGTCATTTGTGTAGCTTTATGTGGATTCTTGGGACACTTTGGTATATGCCTCTTCAAGGATGTTAAACCATGCTTGCCTGGGTTACAAGCATAATCTAAATTACAGTACTTGCATGCAGCTCTAACTTCTCCATTTGTCTCTTCCAATGGTAACTTAGTAAAGTGTTCCCATACTTTTGACACCTTTCTTGAAGAATTTTTTCTCTTTCTACTACCTTCTGTAGCTTCACTTTCAGTTACAGTTGTAAGAGGAGGAGGACATTCCATAGTAGTTGGGGGTTGAGGAGGAGGAGTAGGTGTCAAAGATGATCCAGAAGAAGTTAAACTCACATTTTGCACCAGTGAAAGGAGACGATTGAGGTTGGTCAATGTTGGATGTTTGCTCAATATCCATCACTTCACAATGATGAAAAGGAAGCAAAATGGACAAGTTATAACAGCACAAAATCATGGCAGGTAATACAAAAGCTAAAAAATGAGAGCACATAATTGATAAGGTGATTACTAATAAAAATCATCCCACAGGAATGTTCTTCGAACAGATCAACACAGACATGGGGAAAAACTTTAAACAACTTCTAAAACAAGTCAATCCAAATCTGTCTAACAAATTTCAATCTTCCAAATCTGTGTAACAAATTTCAATCCATATTAAGCAACTTCTAAGACAAGTCAATCTAAAATTGTGTAGCAAATTTCAACAAATTTTGGATTGTGTAGAGTGATGAGCTAGAGTCAGGGAAAAAAACACATCCACTTCAATGGTTTTTCACAGATTCAATGATGAGGCAGAGTTAGGTAAAAAAAACAAGGGAAAACGAACAAGAATATGCCAGACTTGGGTCAGCACAAGAAATCTCTATAGCTACTTTTCAAGTGAAAAAAATGAAAGGAAGAAGAACAAGGAATGGCTCGAGCAGGGGTGGGGGTGGGGCAATGGGTAACAGGACTTACCTGGCGATTGCTTGCTTGAACGTGCGAGAATGGCGGTGAATCAGAGGTTAAGGTTAATGGAGAGTACCAGTGGTGAATCAGATGCGAGAGGCGATGCCGACAGTGGTGGCACACTAGCGGAGCAGCGGTGGCAGGAGAACAGCTCGAGCAAGAATGAAGAAGGAAGAGCAATGAATCAGAGATTAGGGCTCGAACAAGAATGAAGAGGGAAGAGCAACGGCGGGCGACGTGATTGACGGTGTTCGGTAGTGGCGTACTGGAGGAGGTAGGGCTTCGGTGCACTAGAGACTAGAGAGTGTGGAAAGAAACTAAGAATGAGTTTTATGCTGAACTTGAAGTGAGCTGGATTTCTGACGGCATTTGCTCTTTATTGACTTGCTGTGTGACTAAAGTGATTAACACGTGTGAGATCATAATTGACGCTGCCGGTTGCTGGAGCCTGGAGTGCTGGGTGACTTTTTCTTTATTCAATGTGTTAATACAAAATGTAATAATGTAAGATTAATTCACTAACTTATTAATTAATAATTTATAAATTATTTTTAATTATATTAAAATAATTCTATAGGACTAGATTGGACCACTTAGTCCAGATACTTGGTCTCGAGTCTGGTCTTATCCGAAAAATTAGTCCTGTCTTTTTGGTCTTTTTAGTCTTGTAGGACCAACATTTTATAAGACCGGACAGGACCGGGTTTTCACGGGTTGGACCATACTACGAGACTTTTGCACAGCCCTACTTTATGCTATTATTTGGAAGAAAATTTTAAAAGAGGATGGAATAATTTGAAGTGACATCTCAAGTTATCCCGTGCCATCCTAAACCTATTTTTCTTAACAGTCAAGGATAGAATGATATGATATAAATAATATTTTTATAAAATTATCCTTATTTTACTCACTCTCACTCACTCTTTCACTCCCCCTTATCTTAAAATTTTAAAAAAAATTAACTATATCTTATTCAAAATTATTCTTAAAAAATAATTAAATAAAATCATTTATTTTTTTTAATGAAACTCCCAAACAATGGAATATTTTGTTTCATTCCACTCCGTCCCATTCCACCACATTTCATTCTAATAATGATCATTTCTTTCTATTCGATCATATACTCTTAAACGTACCTGAAAGCAAGTGCTCACAATGAAATGGAATGAAAAAGAAGGAAGTAAATTTAATATTTTTTGAATACAAACCTACAATTATGTCTTTGTTTTTAGAAAATATTACGGGCATCTAAAAAAAATTGCTTTCTAATAATTACGTGGGTATTATATATTGGGAAAATGACATATAAGGTATGTATAGATGAGAATTTACCATGCAAAGCTGTTAATTCATTATGCGAAGGTGTTAATTTTGTTAGCTTAAAGTCACAATTCAATGATAAAATAGTCAATTGTAAGATCTGTTTAATTACCAATTTATCATGCAAACGTTGTTAGTTATACCTGCTTCAAGTAAGACAGTTTAACTATGAAGTACTTTCTTCAATTTAAAATATAAATGGCATTATAAAAACTATTCTTCATTCAGAATATAAGTCACTTGGTAATTGGTATTTTCTCCATCCTAAATTATAGGACATCTTTAAAGAAGTTTTTTTATTTCAAAATATAAGATACTTTGAGTAGATTAAGATTTCATTAAATATACTAATTTTAATATTACCCTTGCTCTCTCTATAATTAATTTTTGTCTCTTTTCTTTTCAATGTATTAAATTATGGGTATTTTTAAAGTTTATATTTTTGTTTTGAAAAGATAAGGTTCTTAAGTATATTTAATGAGATTTATTGATATGTAAAATTTTATTTAAAAGTGTTTTATAATTTGGGACGGAAGGAGTATAATTTATTTCTTAATTATATCCTTGATTTTTTTTAAATGTCCATTAAAATTTGAACTATCTTATAGGTAAAACATGAAAAACATAAATCTTGTTGGGAAATTAATGTTGTAGCCAAATCTTTTATAGAATCCATGAATTAGATGTGATGTAGTTAAACTGTAGACTTGTTATTAATAAAGTATACATTAATAGTCAATTCATCATACCACATTTTTAATAAGGCGCCCATTAGAGTGAAAGGCTTTTTATTGTTTGGCAACTTAAAAAAAAAAAAAGAAAAGGCTTTTTGTTGAATTTTTTATTTCTCAAAATTTTTAAAGCTAGGTTTAAAACTTAAAAGGTTAAATTATCAAAGGATATTTCTGAAGGAATTGAATTATTTTGTTATTATTATTATTATTTTTGCTGACCTAGGGAAATTGAATTAGGTTAAATTACCTTAGTGATTTAGTGTGTATTTGATTTTCAGTTTGTCAAAAGTTCATTTAGTAAAAGTTCATTTGGTGATGAAAGTCAGTTTAGTGAAAGTCAGTTGTTGTAATGAAATTTGTGTTTGAATATATTTTTTCAAAAATCAGTTTGATACATTAAAGTTGTTTGGTTTGTGATAGTGAAATGTGCTTTTGAATGTGCAATTATCAAAAAGGACATTAATTTATAATGATTTATAATTTTTATTATACAAATGTAATATATTTAAAATATTTAAAAAATATAATAAAGATTTTAAATAACACAAATTTGATCTATAATGTTAAAAATTTAATCTCTAGTTATTTGTATTTTTTAATTTATAATTTTAAAAGATGTAATAAAGATTTGTAATTTTTAATATACATTAATGCTAAAAATTAATATGATTAATTATTTAATTTATAATACTAAAAAAATTAATACTTAATTATTATTATTAAAATAATAATTATATTTTTAATGAATTAACTATTTTTTAAATAAAAGAATAAGAGATTAAACTTAAGGTAGTATGGTTAAATAATATTTTATTTTTTAAATTTACTTTTTAAAAATTTTAAATAATTACGTTTTAAAAATTCACTTTTAACTGCTGTTTAATTAAATGTACTTTCAAGATGTATTTTTTTATAAAATATTTTATTTAAGTAATTTTAATTTTTTAAAAGTAAAATTTTATTCTTTGAACGTTGGAAAAACCAAACGGACCCACATCCATTCATGTTTTCACGCTCGCGAGTCTCTTCCTTCCTCTCAATCGTCTCCCTTTGCTGCAAACGCTGCTCCTTCTTCGTTCTTGCTATTCGCCAGTCACCGATCAACTTTTCTGTTATTTGCTGAGGGAATTTTCATGCGATTTTGGGCCATTTTTTCCGGTGAATTTCCGGCGGATTTGTTGGTATCTTTTTTCTGTGATTGAGTAATTTGTTAGTTGGGATTTTGTTTGATTTTGATGGAAATATTGTTTTATTCTTCTCAATCCTTAATTTGTGATATTTAGTCAAAGAAAAATTTAATTATGTTTGACATCTCCCTCTTCTTCCTTCGATAAATTCCCTGGACACGTTCTCTTTTTTTCCACCTTGGTTGATGGGGCCATCGACTTACCATTGCTCCGCAGGAACCACTTATGAAGTCACAATGGATCAGGAAATTATTGCTTTTCAAGCTTGCAAGTGTCGTGGCTTTGATATGATCTTTGCTTGTATCAGTATATGATTCTGATGCAATATTACTTAATATCAATAATTAATTGGTGCCTCTTTACTGACTTTTGTGACTTCAGTGTTTATGTTGGCCTGAGTTCTGATATATAAAAGGAAAACAATGGAAGAGAAGAAGCATCCCCGGGTTTTTATGGATATTTCTATACATAATAAACGTGTTGGAAAGTTGATTTTTGAGGTATCCATTTTCCTTTTAATACTTTTGAATTACAATGATTGTGGTGATACATGATAAAGCTTTTGCATTTTGCAACTTTCAACTTTGAGGAGAGTCGAAATGCAACCTAATGGATTCTTTCGTCCTCCCACCAGTTATTCGATGAGATTTTCCCCTACGCTGCAGAGAATTTTCGTGCGCTATGTACAGGTTACAATTTGGTGGTTTTATTTCCCTAGTAAAGCCCTCCCGTGCTACAATTAGAGTCCTGACTAATTGAACAAGCCCTTGGGCATGCTAATTCAGTTGGATTTTATGGTTCATGATCCAAGTTCCTCATTTCTCATTTAGTTTTTCCATTTGTTCAGGAGAGAAGGGAATCAGCAGCAAATTAAAAGTGCCACTGCACTACAAGGGTACTTCCTTCTATCACATTGTGAAAGGTGGCTCCTTTGTGAAGGTATGTTATTTATTTATTTATTTTTTTGCTCTTGTTGCACCTAGGATCATCTTCTGTATTGTTGTTCTACCCTTGATGTTGTGGTTGAAGTCGAACATGGCTTAGGAGTTGTCCCTTCTTTAGTCAGTTATCCTTGTTTATGTTGTAGGATATCTGCTTTTCTTGTGGTGTAGTTTTAAGCTGGTACTTACTAACCTGTCCATCTTAGAATGCTAATAAGCTTCATAATTTTCAAACCCATTATGTATGCATTATGGTATCTTGAGTATATATTGATGGCTGGTTTTCCTTTTGCAGGGGGGTACTTTATGGGATTCATTCGGTATGTTTTCTATTGATGCATTGACATTAGGATGACACACTTCTTGCTCTACTTTTTCTAGCTTGTAATTTGATACAGTGCATGTAGTCACTTTCATTTTTTTTTGAAGTTGTCTGTCTCATGATTTTGGTCATATGATCTTGACTCATCACATGAAGCCGTTAATATTACTTTACTAATTACTATTAACCCTCAACTAAAAGTAGATTCTTGTTTTTTCCCCCGATGCATCACATGGAATTTGAATGAACTGTCATGTTCACTGCTTATGTATAATGTGTCTTGTTATATATTTTATCTTAGATATTGATATATCGATTATAAGTAAATTTGGTATCCTCTTGTCCTTGAATCCCTTGGGTTGCTAAACAGTAGGATTGGATTGAGACAACAATTGAGGATTTTAACTGGGTCATTTTTTTCAAATTAAAAATGTCACTTAAGATTTATTTCTAAATGAGTGGTTAAATAGTGCATCTGTTTGGAAATCCTAAGTTCAACCATTTGCTATCATTGATATTTATGTGTATCAGTTTATATGTAAATCTTCAAATAATATAAAATGCTGTTTTACTTGATTAATACGTCATTTTTATTCAATTTGTCTTTCTCTTATTTACTTTAGTTTTCTTCACTGTCTGTAGCTTACTTCATTAGAGTAACCCCAGATTATGTTTGGAAGTTGAATATGAACTCTTGAGCTAGTTTGTCCTCATTTTTAGATTGGGTTCTATCACAATGTTAATTGAGAGTATGAGTTTCATCCAGTCTAATGATCAGTTTTGTATAATTTCGCAAACTTTTTAATCATTTTTTATCCTCCCTCAATGTAGTGTCTACTCTCACACCTTTGCATCTCGTTTTTTATGGTTTAGCAGAGCTTGGAGATAGCATATATGGTTCTCAGTTCCCAAGTGAGAATTCTAGATCCTGCAGTCATTCGTTTGAGCTCTTACCATATAGAATGCAATGATTCAATATATATATATATATATTGTCTTATAGACATAACCCAAAATGACTTTGACTGTTTATTTTGATGAGCTGAGTTTTTACATTGTTCTTGTGATTTATTTCAGATGAGCCAGCTATGTTTAAGCATGATAGAAAAGGTCTTTTGTCCATATCAATTGCTGATCGTTATGCTATTGGTTCTCATTTTGCAATAACGTTGAAACCGGATGACTATCTTGACAGGTTTGTTTAGATGTTTTATATGTAACTCTTTGAGGTATTTAGCGCTGTGTTCTGCTCCTTTTTTTCCTTCGCATGAGCTGCTGGGGTGTCAATTTCAGTTGTCTGGTTTGCAGTCATTGCATTTGAAGAAGCATATAATTTACCAGTACAGTTGTGCGGAATCTTCTTCAGGTTCTATGTGGTTTTTGGGCAGCTTGTTGATGGATTTGATACATTGAGAAAGATTGAAGAGTTACCTTCATTGCCTATTGAAGCTGATGATTATGCTTCATTGGTAGCTGTTAAAGTTGATGATTGTGGGGTTTATATTGAAGGTGTGACTTATTTTGGCCATCTTATTTCAATCAACAATATGCCTTTGATTAAATTGATGGTTGTGATGTTCAACAGAAGAAGCATAAGTGTTGAGATCATTCTCATTTATATTTAGTGTATAATACATGATCTGTCTCTCCTTTATGTGTATGGTTCTGGCTCGGCTTGACATTAGATGAACCTATTTAGGTAGTGATAGCAAAGCTGACGACAACCCTGATGATGAAAGCCTTGAAGATGTTGCAGGGGGAAAGCGAAAGCGTGTAGATCGTTCTCAAAAGAATGGTATTATTTATATTCAGTGTATACTGCTTAAGATCACACAATCAAAATAGATCAATTCATTGTTGACCTCTATTTGCTCACAAATGAAGCAAAATCATGAAAAGTAGGCTGGTTTTTATATGAATGATTTAGTCTAATCTAATCTAAATTTTATCTAATTTAAAATCAAATTCAAAGTAAAACTCCCTGAGTAATTTATAATAAACTTTCCTATAGTATAAGTCATTATTATAATTATATATCAGTTTCTTTAATTTTCTTACGTATCATTATTGCAGCTGAAATTTGCGCTCCCTTAGCTAGGCTAACGGTATCACCGTTGCCTAAGGAGAAGAATCCCATGGTTTTTATGGATGTCTCTATAGATGATCGTCGTTGTGAAAGAATGATTTTTAAGGTACTTTTTTTCTTTTTCAACAATACATGAAGAATTTTATGCCTTTTTGATTTTGCAACTTAGACTTTGAGGAGAGTGTAAATGCAACCTAACAAAGTCTTTCATCCTCCCAGCTATTCTATGATGTCGCCCCCTTCACTGCAGAAAATTTCCGTGCACTATGTACAGGTAATAATTTGATTTCATTATAAACCCCTAGCAAAACCCTCCTGTTATACAATTACACTCTGGCTAATTGAACAAGCCTGAGGACGTGCTAACTCATTTTGATTTTACGGTTTCTGATATGGGTTCTCCATTTCTCATTTAATTCTTATTTGTTCAGGAGAAAAGGGACTTAGTCCTAGTGGTCAGATACTGTTTTATATAGGCTCTTTCTTTTATCCCATTGAGCAGGGTTGCTCCTATGTCAAGGTATGTACTGATATAGTTTTCAGCTTGCACTCACGAAGTTGTCCACCTCCACCTTTTAATGCTAAGTAGGCTTTGTAATGTCCAAATGCAGTTTGTATGCTATGTGTTATTGTGACTATGTACTGATAGCTGGTTTTCCTTTTGCAGGGGGGTGATATTTATGCTGGAGGTATGTTTTATATGGATGCATTGACCTTAGGATTGCATACTTGACTAGTTTTGAAGCTTGTAGTTCTATACTGTAAACTTAGTCACTTTGATGATTTTGAGGTTGCCCTTCTCATGTTTTTCATCATATCATCTTGGCTCATCACATGAGGCAATTGTCATTATTTTTCCTTGTTATTACTAGTTACTAATTATAATAAAAGCGGGGGTTTTTTTTTTGTTTTGTTTTAGCATTGAGCACAGGTTGAGATTGGAGACAAGTATTTCTGAGAATCAATTTGGTTTTATGCCAGATAGATCAATTACAGAGGCGATTTATCTACTAAGGGGATTAATGGAAAAGTATCGTTGTAAAGATAAAGATCTACACATGGTTTTTATTGATTTAGAAAAAGCTTATGACCGTATACCAAGAGAAGTGCTTTGGAAAGCGTTGGAAAAAAAGGGAGTACGGATTACTTATATTAAAGCCATACAAGATATGTATGAGGGGGTAAAAACTAGTATAAGAACGCCTAGTGGTCAAACAAAGGATTTTCCTATAAAGATTGGATTACATCAAGGATCATCTCTGAGTCCTTATTTGTTCAACTTGATTTTAAATGTTTTGACGGAACATATTCAAGAGGAAATCCCGAAATGTATGCTCTTCGTGGATGATATAGTTCTTATAGCAGAGACAAGAGAAGAGGTTAATTACAAACTTGAGCTATGGAGGAGGACATTGAAGTCGAAAGGTTTTCGTCTGAGTAGAAGTAAGATGGAATATTTATATTGTAAATTTGGTAAAGGAATATTCGACAATAATTTGGAAGTGAAATTGGGAGATCAAATTATACCTCAAGTGGAAAAGTTTAGATATTTGGGAGTCATTATTCAAAATGATGGCGAAATCAGTGGAGATATTTCACATAGAATTCAAGCTGGGTGGTTTAATTGGAGAAAAGCTAAAGGAGTTATTTGCGACCGTAAGGTGCCTAATAAACTTAAAGAAAAGTTTTATCGCACTGCTATCAGACCGGCAATGTTATATAGTAGTGAATGCTGGGCTCTAACGGGACAGCAAGAGCATAAAGTTGGAGTAGCAGAGATGAGAATGTTACGATGGATGTGCGGACATACACGTAAAGATAAAATTCGAAATGAGCACGTACGCGAAAAAGTGAGGGTGGCACCTATTGAGGAAAAAATGGTAGAAAATCGGTTGAGATGGTTTGGGCATGTACAAAGAAGATCAAGGGAGGCACCAGTGAGAAGAGTGGAATATATAACTTTGAGTCCGATTAAGAGAGGTAGAGGAAGGCCTAAGAGAACACTCTTAGAAGTTGTTGAACGCGATCTCTTAATTAACAATATTCCTAAAAGCTTGATAAATGATAGAGCACAATGACGTCTTGCAATCCATGTAGCCGACCCCACTTAGTGGGACAAAGGCTTGTTGTTGTTGTTGTTGTTGTTTTGTTTTAGCATTGCACGTAATTTGAAGCATGAGTCATAATGTTCACTACTTGTGAATTATGTGTTTTATATATTTTATCTTAGTTATTATCATATTGATCATAGGTAAAATTGTATCCCCTTGTCTTCGAATTGTATGGCTCGCTAAACAGTAGGATTGGATTAAGAGTAGCAATTGAGGATTTTAACTGGGTCATTTTTCTTCCAATTATAAATGATGTCACTGAAGAGTCTTTCTACATGAGTGGTTGAATAGTGTATCTTGTTGGAAATCCTAAGTTTAACAGGATGCTGCTGTTGATATTCGTGCATTAGTGTACATTTAAATCTTCAATCTTCAGTTTATATCGAAATACGGTTTTACTTGTCTATAAATTGGTTTTTGAAGGATCCTTTCAATACTGTTTCATATTGAGCTAGTATTACAAAGCGGTTATTCATACTTACAATGTTAATTGCATGTATAAGCTTCATCCTTGGATATAATGTCTACTCTTACTTACACCTTTGCATCTCATTTTTATCTTTTTGCAGGGGACTACCAAGAATTCACTTATACTTCAAGATGCCCAGGTGAGAGTGTTGGATCCTGGAACCACACTTGGAAAAAGCTTTCAAAATGTCCTTGTTTATTTATTTTGATGAATAGAGGTTCTGCATTGCCCTTGCTATTCTTTTTTGAAGGATCCTCTCAACACTGTATCATATTGAGTTAGTATTGTGAACCAAGGGGTGCTTCATAATTACATTGTTAATTGCAAGTATAAGTTTCATCCCTGGATATAATATCTACTGTTGCACCATTGCATCTCATTTTTATCTTTTGCAGAGGGATTTGGAGAAAGCATATATGGTTCAAATTTCCCAGGTGAGAATGCTGGATCCTGGACCATGCTTTTGAAAAGCATAAATATATGTCTATTTATTTTGATGAATGGAGGTTCTCTATTGTTCTCGTGGTTTCTTTCAGATGAGTCACCTACTCTTGAGCATTCTAAAGCAGGTCTTTTGTCAATGTCAAAAGATGATTGCAAAAAATTTGGTTCTCTATTTGTGATCACATTGAAAGCTGATCCATCCCTTGACAGGTTTTTTTATGTAGTTAATTATTGGAGATATTTATCACTGTTTATGCTTATCTTTTCCTTCTCATGACCAGCTGGGGTGGGAATATGCATTGCCTGGTGTGCAAACATTGCATTTGAAGAAGTGCATTCACTGATCCTGTTTGGGATCTTGTGCAGTTCATATGTGGTCTTCGGGGAGCTTATTGGTGGACAACGAACACTGGATATGATTGGAGAATATGGTTTTGAGCTACCTGTTCAAATCATCCAATGTGGTGCCTATACTGAAGGTGAGGTTCATTTTGTCCATCTTAGGTCTATTTGAAAATGATAATAATTATGCCTGAGATGATCTAAAATAAATTTGCATTCCCTAACACCAGATGCTAAAGCATGATGTTTGATCATTCTCAAAAGAATGGTATTATTTATATTTAGTGTATAATGCTTGAGAGCACACAATCAAAATAGCTAACTTCTTTGCCTCTGTTCAGAGGATCATGTTTTCTATTGCATTGTGTGGAACCTATGGATAATCGTTTACTGATTTGGTGATCTATCTTCTAGAATACTGTGGAACTGTGATATTGGAATTGTTGGTCTGTGTGTATGGTTTATGGCAATTTCTGTGTTGGTTGTTTATGGTTTGACCATTGTGATGGGTTGAGGATCGGACATTGTGATGGCCTTGGAAACTCGTTATTGGGAGTTGCCCTTGGGCGTCATCATGGATCTATATTGCTGATTCTTTGAATTTGTGGAATTTAGATAGTCGAAATTGTGACTAGGGGTTGGTGGCTTGATTCGTCTGGCCTACCAAATTTATCTTATTGATTGTAGAACCAGTTTGGTTTGGCTTTTGGGAGGGTCAATATCAAAGTTTTAGTTTAAGGTGCGAACGAGGTGATTTTGGATGAGATTGGTTGGTTTTTTTGTTCCCAGGTGGGTATTGGGGGTCTTTCATTAGGTTCAACATGGGAGAGGGTGTTTGGTTTATGATGTTAGCATGAGTAAAATTGATTTGAGAATTAATTTATGGACAGAAGACTTGATTTTGTTGTGACCCCTTTTTGTTTGGATTGTTTAATTGGGAAATAATTTTTGAAAAAAATTAATTATGATGGATATGTACTAGTAAAAGTATGTTTGCATATGTAAATTACTGAAAAGGTCATGAGTTAGTAGTATAATTTTAAATGGAAAAAATTTGGAGCTTCACGAGAAATCAAGACAATACACCGTGTTCATGTATGCATCAAATGGAAGTGCAAATTATATATAGGGATTATGTCTTGCTTAACTAAAAATTTAATTTTGAGTTTCAATCTTGTTAATGTTCAAAAACCTCAAAATATCACAAAAACAAATCTAAAATTTAAGATATTTGATGAAGAATCCAAAAATACGCTGAGACCAACACGGCAATATTCTCTATTTGCTTACAATTTTTTAATTTGAGGTGGGCAAGAAAAGCATAATATTACTAATAATTGATTGTTAATTTACAGTTGGAAGGTGATGCTTGAAGGAGCACATCAATACATAGAAGTAGAAATCACAGCTGCTCAGAATACCATTGCAAGATTGCAACCTTTTGATTGTTTGGAGTAGGGTTTATTGACGTGATGGATCACTAATGTAATTGTTTCCCTCTGTTATAAGTGGAAGTGTTGAATCCCCGGCATTGTGTACCCTGACCTGCATCCACTTCTCCCTCTATCTGATGACATCACTTTCTTTCTAGCGTTCTGTTTGTTCAAATGTTATCATTAGCAAGGATAATTTGTGATGAGCGTGCTCATAAGGCTAGGAGCTATTTCGGCCTTCTATTTCAGTTCAAATTGATTTCTGTCATTCATTTAAATTAATTTTTAAATATTTTTAATATCATATTTATTAATATAAAAATATACAAAAGTTAATATAAATTTGTACTATTTAGAATGCATCTAAATGGTTAATTTGTAAAATTTATGAATTTTTTAATATTAAATTAGGTCATTTTGATTATATTTGAATTGTTTGGAGTCTATTTGAATAATTAAAATGTAAAATTATGAAATTTTTTAATATTAAATTTGATTGTTTGATTAAATCTACATTGGTTAAATTGGTATTGAATAGATTTATTAAAATTTTATATTTTATATTAATAAATTTGATAATATTAAATTATGTAAAATTAATTTAAATGAATGGTGGAGATTAATTTAAGTTAAAATGGAGGGACACGTCGGAAGTTTGCTTCTTGTGCTATCATTGACAATTGCATTTTGTTGTCATAAATCGTGCAATGCATCATGGCACATGACATAAAATCTCACGAGTCGTGGTGCACTAGCAATTAACCGTGGTGTTCATGTTAATTTTCACATAATTCATAGCTTTGAGTGTTCAATCAATGATTTTGATTCTTAAATGAATCTCAGGCTTCTGTATCTATAAAAACTCTGACTTGAGATTTTCAAGAGTGAACGAGAGTATTTTGAATGTTGAAATTCTTGGGATCCTATTGCAATTGCTTAAAATTGTTTCTTCTACTTATAATGTTGTGAAAACTTGGTAAGCTTTATTAGGGTTATCCCCTTAACTACGTTGGAAAATGATGATTAATTATGCATTAGTAAGAGCAAATCTTACACCATATCTTTAAGGTTGCCTCCTCATACATTGGTGGAGATTAATTAGATTTGAATCTCTCGAAGAATAAGTGAGATTGTCCTTCTATAACAATGAGATAATGACTACCTTTTAATTTCAATGGTTGGCAGCTTGGTTAGCTTTCAATTCTAACAGTAAACTTGTCAATACCACGTGGATATACAACATCTGCTTCTCTTCATATAGGCAAACTCCCATCATAAATGGTCATGCCATGCACATAATATCAACATGTAGCATACAATTTCATCATCATCAACCTAATCATATCATGCTCATCACATTTCACTTCCTTCACAACCCACACATATTTCAATTTGCATTTAACTCCAATGTTACTCATTTTTATATGTACGTGCTTTTACTCAATAATAACAATCATGTAAGGATGCATATATCCATAAATCATTTTCATTATTTTAACACATCATACTCTCAATCACATTGCCAGATTTTTGCATCAAATGTAAGTTTACAAATATCATCTAGTTTTCACATCATTTACTTCAACATATAATTACTTAACAAAAAAATACATAAATTAAATTTTTTCTGGTTACCTCAAATCTTTAAAAGGTTAAAAATTTATCCCTCAAAATAAATAATTCCAAAGCTTCTTAAGTTTGAATGGTGCCGATACACCTAAAATCATTACTACTTCCATAATTGAATTTCACAATACCTGGTCTCAACACTTTCAAACCCCCAAAATTACAACCTCACACTTCCAAGCATACCCATTGGGTTCATTAACGTACTTTTAACTCTTACATTATCATTAATGAACCATTAAACCACTATTAATGGATTCACACACCTCTACCAACCTTATTTAATGCACATTTTTGGATAATTAATGCTCCCACCAACCAAATTCTTATGAAACCATTAATACTAAGTTTATATAATCTAAATAACTCTTATTAACTTTATTTAGGTCAATAAGTTTGGACCCATAGCCATTATGGATCGAAAATTTACTCACATTCACAAACCCTAACTCGAACCTTTGAGAAAATAGAGAAGGGAGAAAAAAATTAACACAAGAAACTTACTCTTAATGTTTGGAAGCTCCAAAATGTCCTAAATGGTCTATAATCTCAAGCCTTAATAGAGCTTGGTGCGTGCTCTTTGTTTTTTCCTTTTCTTCCTTCTAATTTTGCGAACTAACATAGGTCCACTTAAGCTAAACTTTGACCATCCGCCACGGCTCATGCACCGTATCACATGACATAAAGAGGCCAACCCTTTTTGATATACTACTTATGCGCCATGTTGGAGGTGGTATACGCCACGACATGTGGCACAGAACCTTCTTTAATTTTCTTACTTTTTAATGTTCGAGTGACCCAATTTCACTTCGGACCTGAATCTAAGGTTAAAAATCACAATAAAAAATGTTCATTAGATCTTTTTAGCCACACACCACACTAATTCACAACTTAACCTCATTTAATTTAAACTAATCCAGGTTAATTTCCCAGGATGTTACAAGCTGGACCCTTAGTATCAAGTTAGAGAGATAGAAGACATTGAGTATTTATATATATAGGGTTAATGAGCATTTTAAACCCTAAAGTATTATATGAAAAGCGCCTTGGACTCTGAACTTTTAAAATGTATAAAATGGATCCTAAACTTTTAAATTTATAACAAATTACCCCCATTATTAACTTTTTCTTAATACCGTTACTATTTACCATGAGGCCCAATATGCTGACGTGGTAGTCCCTTGCTAATGTGTCATTTATTAATAAGTACCACAGACCCCAAACTATTGCATGAGTATCATCTTAGACCCTGAACTTCAAAATTTCAAACAAATTACCCCTACTGTTTATGTATAAAATATTTACTATTATGAATGCCAAATTAGCCTTAGCATGGTCTGCGGTGAACGATCCATAATTTTATGAAATGACCTTTTTTTTGGCCCTTTTTTGCAAAATTTTTCAAATGATTAGTATATCATGCTTCTACATACTCTATAATTCTGATTTAATATTATTTTAATAATATTTATTTATTTAATGATGAAAAATTAGAATCCCATTTGAAAAAAAAATATCAGTAACTTGGGATCCCATTTATTTATTTATCGTTAGTTGCATTAAGGGATTGCTGCATCAACATGTGACTGGGCCCCTCAATAAACAATAATGATAAATAGTAATAGCATTAAGAAAGAGTTAACGGTGGGGAGTAATTTGCTATTAATTTAAAACTTTAAGGTTCATTTTGCTTATTTTAAGAGTTTAAGATCCATAGTGCTTTTAGCGTAAGACTTCAAGGTCCAGGATGCTCATTATCCCTCTGCGTATGGAGATTATATTTATTATTAATTAACTTCAAAAAATTTATAAATTGTACCTTAAATGAAGTTTCCAGTTTGCCTCGTGGGCAGCTAAATTTTCTAATTACCCTGACCAAGTCACCAATACTACATTTAGTACTCATTTGGCTTTTAATTTAATTTATTTATTTATTTGGAAAAAAGGATATAATATCAAGGTAAAAAATTTAAAAATTACAAATAAAAAAAAGGACAAAGACGGAATAAAGGAACTTTATTAAGACTGAAGTTCAAAAATTCCTTCAATACTCAACGGAAACAAATCAGAGCAAGAAAAAGTTAGGAAAGTATAGTCTTCTTTAAAAATTTAATCCAACTTCTGGCATCTAGAAGCCCAAATCAAATGCCTTTAATTAGTCATCTCTGGGGCCTGAATCAAGTGCCATCTAGTTACACCTGATTGAGGAGCTACGCCAACAAAACACAGTCTAGACAACAACATATTAGTGTCAGATAAGAACGGAAATTGGCCCAACACATGCATTCGGCCTCTAATTCTTCCCATTCATCACAAGTCTAATATCCTAAAGTATAAGTCATATAGGCTTAGCTTAATAAAAAAAAAAAAATCATTCAGCATAAGAATAGCGCGCATTTGAGCCAAATCACACACTTGGCCCCTGTCAAATCATAATTTTTATATATTTTATCTCACCCTTTTCATATATTTTGGGCTAATTTTGATTTGTTAGATATTATTTAAATTTTTAGCCAATTTTAAAAAATAATATATTTTTGGATTAATATTGAGAATTTTGTATTTGAATTGTTTATACTTAAATTTTTTATTTTTAATATGGTTTAACCTTGAAAATCTTTAATTAAGCTTAATTTGAATTAATATACATTGCTTGGGTTTTTGGCCATTTTTTGTGACGAAATTTTAATTGTTGGAAAAATTAATTTTGAAATATTTTTTTGAGGCATGAGATTTATTTTAGACATAGCATATACCAATGGGTGTATTTAATTTTTTTTAGGCCATGAAGACAAAATTAATGAAACTCAATGGTATAATTTAAATCTTGACAAAATGAATGTTTAGTTCGAGGATGGGAGGGAAGGGATTTTGCCCCCTCCTTTTGTTTGGTTTGAAAAATTAGAGGGGAGGGCCCCCCTCCAAATTGGGGGGATTGGGAGGGAGGGGTAAAATTTTTTATACCTTGACCAATACCCTCCGTGATAACTTCAAAAAATGTAGATGCACTTCTCCAATATCTCAACACTAATAAAATGAAGGTAAAATTATTCATATATAATTATTTTTTCTTTTCTCCTCTCCCGAACCAAACAAAGTAATATTAAACCCTTCTCCTCTCCTTTATTAAAATCCCTCTCCTCCCCTTGAAACAAACACACCCAAAAGAACATCCAAGGGCTATGAAGAAGTAGTACTAGGCAAATGGATTATGGGTCAACCCGCGAGCTAGCCTGCATGAGCTAATATTTTTGCTGGTGGGGTTAGGCCAGCTCACCAGATAAAACGAGTTGGAAAATCTAACTCAACTCATTTTCTAGCGGGCTAGCCAGGGTTGGCCAGCAAAAAAATATCAATTTTTTAATAATTTAAAATTTATATAATATAAATATATATTTATTTATTTTATATTTTAAAGCAAATTAGCCATTAAAAAACTTGTAAATAAATAAAATAAACATAGAATTCAACCAAGCAAATTTATTTTGCTAGATTTTTACTATCAATTATTTTTTCATTTAGGTGTGTTATCTTTGTCATTGAGAAAGAAAATTTAAATATAAATTCATATTATTTTTCTCAATAAATTCATATTTATAATTCTAATCAAGAGATCTTATGAGATTAATAAATAATATATATTCAAAATATT